TTACTGAGCTTAAAACCCTTTATTTTACTATGAAATAATGAATGACTTACAGGCATCTGGGATGTTGAATTGTAAATGAATTTGTCTCTATATTTAGTAATTTGTTAACGATTCTAAATATGGAATTAAAAAAGCCCTGAAACAGTCTGTTTTATAGTGTTGTAAACTGCTGGATTTTGCTTTCACAAACTTAATGCTAGCAGTAGTCATGACTCTGCAGGCTTCTGTGAGAAGAAATGATCGTGTGTGCGCGCGTGTGTGTGTGTGTGTGTGTGTGTGCGTGTGTGCGTGTGTGCGCGTGCGCGTGCGCGTGTCTCAGCTTGAGCACATATCTTCGTGCCACCCTGTGCTGATGTACCCATATAGAAGCAATATGGCATTTTAATGTGGGTTTTGTACCTTACCCCATATCCAAAGTTAAAGTGTTTTTCTTTTTGTGTAAGTGTGTGTTGATGTGTGTGCATATGCACATATGTTTGCAAATGCCTGAAGATGTGAGGCCAACCTTGGGTGTTATTCCTCAACATTTTCATTTTTGAGTCAAGGTCTCTTATTGAAAACAGAGGCTTGCTCATTAGATAAGGTTGCCTGGCCAGTGAGCCTCTGGAATCTTTCAGTTTCTGCCATGTTTGTGTGTAAAAAACTTTATCAATAAATTTTCTCCCTATCCACATGAATTATGTGCTCCTGAGTTAGAGATGTAGCTCATTCAACAGAGTGCCATTGGCTTCCTTCACCCCACCACAGAATACTGAGTGTAGTGTCGTATGCTTGTGATCTCAGCACTTGGGAGTTAGAAGCAGTGAGATCTGATCACGTCAAGGTTATCCTCAGGCACATAGCAAATTCAATTTTGAGGACAGTAGGACTTCATGATGTCCAGTCTCCCTGCCCCCCAAAAATGCGGTTTTAGGAAACCTAAAAAACTACAAAAGAAAAAAATCATTGGAGACTCTAGAAGATGGAAAGATTTTTCACATTCATAAAGAAGCAGAAAAGTGAGCCACAGATTCAGTTCAGTACCCAGAAAATTTACAATAACATTTTCCACAGAAACAACAGTAAATTCATATGAAAGTTCATATGAAAGTTCAACTGAATAAAGTATTCAGAAAATTTCCCACAAAGCCACAGTTACCTGACCACCCAGATGCAAGAAACACCCACTGGAGAAAAGACAGGATCTTTAACAAGTGGTAATGGAAAACTGGGTTCCTTCCTTCCTTCCTTCCTTCCTTCCTTCCTTCCTTCCTTCCTTCCTTCCCTCCCTCCCTCCCTCCCTCCCTCCCTCCCTTCTTCCTTCCTTCCTTCGTTCCTCCTTCCTTTCTTTATTTCCCCCCTTTTTAGACAGGGTCTCTCTGTAACTGCCCTGGTTGTCCTGGAACTGGGTATGTAGACCAAGTTGGTCTCAAACTCACAGAGATCCGCCTGCCTCTGCCTTACCAGTGCTTGCATTAAAGGCGTGCTCCCCCACACCCAGCAGAAACTGGGCTTCTAAATGTAGAAGAATGAAACTAGATCCATGTCTGCTAGCCTCCTCCAAACTCAATTAAATAAGAACAAAAAATTTTAGTGTAATGCCTGAAACCCTGAAACTGTTAGGGAAAATAAATAGAGAAACACTTCAAGATGTAGCTATAGGTAAGAACTTCTAAAAATGACTCCAGTACTCAGGAAATAATCCCAAGAACTGACAAGTGAGATTGCAGTGAGTAAAATTGTGCTTCTGTAGAGCAAAGGAAAATATAGTCATAGTTCTCAACCTTCCTGATACTGTGACCCTTTAATACAGTTCCTTGTGTTGTGGTGACCCACAACCATACACTTATTTTCCTTGATATTTCATAATTGTACTTCTGTAATTGTTAGGAATCATAATGTAAATATCTGACATGCAGGATATCTGCTATGCGACTGTTATAAAAGGGCCAGTCAACTTCCACAGGGGTCATATATAGGTGTGAGCTGTATGTTTGATAGAGGATTAATAAATAGAATATATAAAGAACCTAACTAAACATCCCAAAGCAAAGCGACCCAAGCATAAGTGGGTTAATAATGAGATGATGAGATCTCAGAAGTGTGTTGATTAGTTGATGTAAAGGCAAATATTCGCAATTCGATAAGGCATTTTGGAATTGATTACATCTGTGCAAAAAGCACTGCACTATAGAAATAGTTTAAACATGTGAAGTATGCGTTATACTTAGTGATTATAATGTCTGGGATTCAAACTTAAATGTTTTAATTTTTTATGTTTGAAGTGGGTAAAATTATTTCATTTGATATCTTTAGAAAGAATACCGTTTTTCCTATTAAACTTCAGGTAGAAAATAATTTGATAATTTGTCATTCTGTATGTGTTATACTTAATTTTAGGCATTTTCTTTTAAATTTGGATGGTCTCTGGGCTCTTTGCACAGTTCTTTGTAGGAGGGTTAAGCTGTGGCACTATAATTACACATCCTCTTGAACACAGATAGAAGTTTATAATAATTTAGCCTTGCTTGTGAAGAGGGAGCAGCATAGGTTCTTTCTATTTTGTATTTGAAAATTTATAAAATTATGAGACTTATTTAAGATAGTATACTAGTATTAACTTGAAACTCATGATTTTAAAATTTTGCAATTGGAAAAAACTTCACTCAATATCAATTTACCTAACTGTAAATATACTTTTGAATTTTATAATTCTCTTTGTGAATAATATGTCCTCTTAAACAAGAGAAACGAGACTATTCTTTTAGACTTTTAAAAAATTTGAGGTGGGTTTATTGATTTTGTTTTATGATGTATTTTGTCTGTGTCTGTGTAGGTATACCATGGCTATGCAGCACAGAAGAGGCCAGGGTTCCTAGTTCCTAGGACTAGTGTTACAGACAGTTGTTAGCTGCCTTGCAGATGCTGGTAATCAAAACTGGCTCATCTATAAAAGTAGCCAGTGCTCTTAACTACTGAGCCGTCTTTTAAACCCCTTCCTTTAGATTTTAAAGGATTAGCTGGAACAGAATTCATGTTATGTGATTATAGAAGAATTCTTTGTAATAATTTTTTAATTGTTAAAGTTTGTACTTTGTTTTTGGTTTTTACTTTTTATGATATTTTTCCTTGCACATTTTAAATTTTAATTGGATTTTGTTTTATTAGCATCTTTTACTATTGAGCATATATCTACTTTTCTGATTTAGTACATTTACATGTGTTGGTAATGTGTGTGTGGTGGTATGTATGAAAGTCAGAGGAAAATTTGCAGGAGTCCTTTTTTGCTTTTCCATTTTTGTCATATGGATTCCCGGGATCCCACTCAGATCATCAGGATTGGTGAAAGGCACTCTTACCTGCTGCTGAAACATCTCATTAGCATATTTTAATGGAACACATACAACCCAGGGATAAATATTAAAAGACATTATTACTTTATTAAACTAAATAACCCCATCCAGTATGACTTAAGAAAATCCAGCCCCAGAGTGTTTTACTAGAATTATCATTATGAATTCATAGCAAAAGAACCTCTAAGCCTAAAATTGGAGAATAAGATCACTAAGTCTCAGTTTTAGTTTTAACCCCCCACCCACATGCATATTGTTAGATGGAGAGTTAAGTTGGGTGTGGCCAAGGATAATCATGCTTGATCCTTGTGATTCCTGGATGGAGATGGGAATGGGATAGTGGAGTAATATTGATGGTTGATGTCTTATTGGGCCCCTTTCCCAGTGGCAGCCTTCTAAGGTCTATGCCTGAGCTTGTGTTGATGAACATTTTACATTAATCATTGGAACCCTCAAATGGGAGCTTTTCAAAATTTTTAGTTGAGTCAGAGATTATAAATGTATAAGATCAAAAAAACAAACCACATAGTCAATATAATTTTAACACCTGAAATATAAAACATGAAATTTCACTCTTGCATATAGATGGATTAGAGATCTAGATGAAAGAGGTATGACTGAAAAGCTTTGTCATAACACAGGAGAACATCTATTGACCCCCCCACACACAATAAGGTAAGACTCAAAATACTGACCAAAATATACACATTTTGGTGAATTATTTTGATGAATTGTATTTTACAAAAATTACTGGCTTATCATCATTATGAGAAAAAGAAATTGACAATATAGGAAAATACACACACACACACACACATACACACATATGTACTCCTATATAGACAACAAACCACAAAGAGATGAAAACAGTAAGAATACCAGTAAGAAAAAGAAACAAAATGTGAACACTGCCAAGGCTGAAGATAGGAGTATATTCACATTTAATAAGTATCTGTAAGGAATGCAACACCCATTACTCATCAGGAGATGTGATGCTAGAATTTGTCCATCAATGTGGCTAAATTTTACCAAAAGGGAAATAATTGCTTAGGACTCTCATGCAACTATCACAATTTGTTACAATTTGAAGGGAACTTGTCTATCTAGTACCCAAACTCAACACATGGTATCTGCTGTTCCAGTAGTTCACTTGTAGGAATGAGGTCCCCATCCCCCGATGCAGTGATGTTTCTAGAATGTTCATGACAGAAGTATTTGTAGTAGTCAAGATGTTTAAAGTTCCAAATGGCTATCACTTGGAAAAGAGAAGAACAAATCAAATCAGTATGATTAATTAATATTCTGAATGATCTATAAGTAGAATGTAGTATGGATTAATATCTCAAATATGTTTATTCAAAGAAACTGTTCTTTTGTTAGTGGGTGCTTTCCTGCAGAAACGGAAATATAAAATTTCTTCATGTTGCTATAGTAATTTTATTTAGCTCATTATTTCAGCTGATTACTTGTCCCTTCTCATCTGTAAAATCTTCAAGTCATTATTGAACAAAACTATGACTGATATTGGGTTCAGTGGTTGTCTCTTTTATACAGCATTTTACTTTTATTTCTTTGGAGTTTGTATAGCTGAAAGACAAGTTTTAAAAGTTATCATCATTTGATAATTGTAGTCTCCTTTCAAATGTTGATTTTGTTCTTTCATTGCAGGTAGTCAAAATGGAAAGGAAAGTGAGCAGAATCTGTCTTGCTTCTGAACCCAACATAACTTACTTTCTGCAAGTGTCTTGGGAGGGAACAGTGGGATCTGGTTTTGATATTACACTGACTGATGGCCATTCAGCCTGGACTGCAACAGGTAATCTTGACAGCAAACATGTTTCAAGTAAAAGTTAAACATGTCCTACTTGTTAGTCCTCAGGGACTTCAAATTAATGTGTTTCTTCCTGGACACAGGTAACATCAATGTTCAATTTTCATGTTGTGCATTTCTAATTTGTGTATAGGTCTGTAATACTATTTTCTGGAGTTGATTACAGTAGGTAATTCTGCTCACTATGACAGTCTCACTGTTTGGACTTCATCATAGTTTCATAACAACCTCTTTAGAGCAAAGCTCAACAACACTTTCAAATAGTTGCCTCCTCTGGGGCCTGAGGAAAGTAGATTGTGGGACGTAGAGATTCTGCTGGATTGCCGGTGCGGAGTCCTAGGCTTCGCTCTGACCTTATCTTGATGATAGCTTGAATTACTTCTTGAATGGATATGTACTAACACTGTAATGTAACGGATATGTTTTTGTGGGAAATTGGGCAGTTTTATCATATAGACTTGCTCTTGTGTGTTCACTGATCTTATTTAAACTGTAAGTGGCTCTCAAGTCATGTGTAACATATGGCAAGGGTCTCTCGTTAGTACAGTGGGCAGCATGCCAGTCTCAGATTATGGCAGGCATAAAATTAAAAATTAGAATTATGTTTTCAAATTACAAGATTTTAATGTTTTTCTTAAGTATATTAGCAAAAAACAACAGTTTGTAGCTATATAACAATTACTTTTGGAGTTATAAACGATATATTAGATGGAAATTTAAGAGTTCATTTATATGCTATTTATATATTCTAACAAATCCCCTGAGATTTATCACTATAATTATTATTTCTAAAATTAAAATCCATCATGAAATTCTCTTTCCTTCTTTTTTGGTGCAAATCCAGCACAGTTTAAAGGAATTCAGACTTACAATTTTTTCATTTGTCTTTCACACAGCAAATGAGAAATGTTTACTTTTTTATTAGAGGAAAAAGGGAATTCAAGGATTGATATGTGCAGCACTCCTTATGTTAACTATCTGAGATGTAAATTTCCCTGTGGGAAATACAGATGCTGACTGCTTCTGGCCCGGTAGAAATGTGGAGACAGATTTCTTATGCTAGCCCTGTGGAGTAAGTGTACCCATACGACAACTCTTGTTGGAAAGAGTAGAGAATGAATGGCTAAAACTGTGGTAGTGGCTCAGTGTGGACCTTTGTTGACTGTGTGAAGTCACAAGACTGTATATACATAGATATTGATACATACATGCATACATGCGTGCATATGTAAATATGTAAGTGATAATTAGGGAAGACAGTTTTAAGTATATAATACTAATTACAAAAAGAAAACAAAGTGATTACTTCACAGTTAGCATTAGCATGTTTATAAATGAGAACTCCAGTTCCCTATTTACTTACATTAAACATTTATCACAAATTCAGTACAGTCATCATTCTGGTCTCTAATGCAATTTAGTATGGTATGATTTAAATGTGACACGAGACTTCTTTCTGTATTCCCTGGTGACATGTTAACATTTTGGTTTCCTGTAGTGACCATATTTTTTAGTGCAGTCTGTAATGGTTTTATTTTCAGAATTATTCAAAGAAGTTTTAGATTTTTCATATATTTTATGCTTTGTGTTATCTATTTGTATTTTCTTGTTTAAATATTAGAGCAAATGTGTAAGCGAATATTAAAATGTATCTGTTTATTTAGAGCTTCTTACATACATATCATATGATTCCTTACAGACATTATACAGTTAGGAATATTGAAATAATTCCTAAATGAAACACAAAAGTAGGCTCCCTTCCTATACCTCTTCCTGTGTTTTAGTTGCTCAACTTTTTGATTGCTGGAACCATCAATTATGGATAATTTTTCTCTTTTCATTTAAATGGAAAGGATGTGAGGTTTGTTTTAATCTCCCACACACCAAGCTTGCTTATTTCTTTCCCACTAGCATTGCTTTGTCTAATGAATGTTTGGGGACCTAATTATCATGTGGCCAATCATCAATCATTTCTGTATTACAGAGTGTTGTGTCTCAGGGTTATTTCACAAAGTGGGTTAATGATTGATGATCACTATGTGCCTTATAAAATAATTGCTTTGACAGCAAGAAACTTCTATCACCTACTTGTGGGAGGTGTCTTTAAGTTTATTGGAGATTGATTCAAGCCTTACTAATGTTTTATTATTGAATATGTAGATTTCTGTATAAGTTTTCTAAGCAGGTATTTTGTGAACTACATTACAGAATTCATAGGAAAGGCTTTGTGTAAGTAGGTCCTAATGACATTATGTGTGTGTCTTCTGTTCTCCTACATGGATTAGGATGAGTCTGTGAACTCTTCACTTACACATAGGACCATTTTTTCAGTGCATCTTTACCTATGTACAAATATTACCAAATAATGTTTTTGGAGTTTCTGCTAGTCTGAGAATAGCTCCTCATTTTTATGTTCTTGTTTGTTCTTTCATCTTTTAAAAATGTCCTTCAGATTTATTCTGGATGGATTTTATTGTCACCATGTTTTCATTTCAGCCATTCAACTTTAGAGCAATGAATGCATACAATTGTGCTGTAGGTTTTAGGAAAAAATTAGCTGGCAGAAATCTAAGTTTGAGGTTGGAGTAGACAATGAAAATTTCATGTTCCTTTTAAATAGGAAATATTTGGTCAGACATTGAAAAAACAGAGTCCATTTTCGAGTAGCTTTTTTGTATGTTGAATTTTTAATAGTTTAATTTCCCTTTTATGAATTTTATATGAATCCTACATTACATCATTTCTATACTGCCTTCTTATTCCAACTCCTACTGTGTCTTTCCCATTCCCTCTCAAATTCATGTCCTTTTCCTTATGTTTATATATGTATATGTTTCTTTATGTATATATAGTCAGCTGAGTCCATGTAGTATTGCTCATATGTGTGTGTTTATGACTGACCACTTCTGATTAGATAGCCAGTCAGGGTCTCATCCCTGGACAAGACTGGTTCTCCCTTTCTCAGCAGTCATAAATTGCATTTAGGAATAGAGACTTCTGAGATTTCTTCCACCCAGGGTGGATGTTACCTGGCATTCCTGTTATATAGGCTTGTCTTTATGCAACCATAATACTGAGATTTCATGAGTGTAGCATCCCTGTGATATATAGAAAGCACCATCTCCCAGCAAATATCCAGGTTTTCTGGTGCTTACAATCTTTCCACTCCCTCTTCCCGGATATTTCCTGAGCCTGAATTGTAGGGATTGTTGTAGGTATATCAATTGACATTGGGCATTCTACAGTCACTTGTTTTCTGTCTTTCGATCAATTGTAGATTTCTGTATGTATCTATGTCCCCCTTTTGACCTCCCCAGTTAACTCTCCTCCCCATTTTTTTCTATTTCAGTCTTCATAACACTTGTCCTACTATTCCCTGCCTTTCTTCCCCTGATGGTCCTTTATTACATACTTGGTATCTGTTGTTATTCCAGTGTATGTGCTCACATCCAAGGATACAGAACTAGGATTTATGAGTAAGTGTGAACACATAGCATCTTTTCATCTGGATCCAAAATTATATTCTTTAGTTCCATCTATTTACTTAAAATTTTCACTGTTTAGTTTTCTTTATGGCTGAATAGAATTAGTTGTAATTCATTTATTATTAATCAGCTGAAAGAAGTTTATTTTGTTTCCATATCCTAACTCTTTGAATTGAGCATCAATGAACATGACTGAGCGAGTATCTATGGAGTAGGTTGTGAAGTCCTTTGGACATATGCCAAGGACTGGCATAATCGGTGGTAGACCCACTTTCAGATTTCTTGAGAATTTACCATTATGTTAGTACTAGGTTGTAGTCCCACCAAATTCAATGAGGGTTCTCCTTTCTCCATTTCATTGTCAACTTTTGTTGTTAGTTTTCCCTTCATCTTAGCAGTTCTGACTGTGGTGAGCTAAACCCTCAAAGTTGTTTTGATTTGCATACCCCTAATTGCTTAAATTTAAGATATTTCTTAGCCATTTTTTATTTATTCTTTTGAGAACTCCCTGTTCACACCAATAGTCCAATTTTTAATTAGGTTGTTTTCTTGAATTGTTTATGGTGGTTTTATTATTATTATTTATTTTTAAGTTTAGATTTAGATTAGAAACAAGGTTGCTTCACAAATCAGTTCCAGGTCCCTCTCTGTTTCCCTCCCCTCCTCCCATGCCCTCCCCCCCAACTCTCCCCCAATATCCCCTCATTTCCCCAGGGAGGGTGAGGCCCTCCATGGGGGTGTCCACAGTCTGTCATTTCATCCAGGGCAGGGCCCAGACCCTCCCCCAAGAGTTCAGGGTGAGAGTGCACCTCACATTGTTGGATGGGAGTCCAAAGTCCGTGTGTATACTCGGGATGAGTACTGATCTGCTGCCCAAGGCTCAATAGATTACCTAGGCCTCCTCACTGACACCCACATTCAGGGGGGTCTTGATCAGTCCCATGCTGGATTCCCAGGCATCAGCCTGGGATTCAAGAGTTAACCTTTGTCAGGTCAACTGTTTCTGGGGGTTAAACGAGCCCAGTCTTAATCCCTTTGGTCATCAGTCCTCCTTCTCTGTTACTGGCTTTCTTGGGTTCAGCTCAGTGCTTAGCTGTGGGAGTCTGCCGCTTCTTCCATCAGCCACTGAATGAAGGTTCTGTTTCCCAGACACTGTGGCCATGGGATTGTAGGCTGGCACTCCCCAGATCTATGTCTAAAATCCATATATGAGAGAGTACATGCCATGTTTTTCTTTTTGTGACTGTGTTACCTCACTCAGGATGGTTTCTTCTAGTGTCATCCATTTGCCTGCATATCTCAGGATTCCATTGTTTTTTTTCTGCTGAATAGTACTCCATTGTGTAAATGTACCACATTTTCTCTATCCACTTTCGGTTGAGGGGCATCTAGGTTGCTTCCAAGTTCTGGCTATTACAAATAATGCTGTTATGAACATAGTGGAACAGACATCCTTGTTGTATGAATGGGCAATTTTGGATATATGCCTAAGAGTGGAGT